TTTTTTTCCATCGTATTAATTCAAAAAGTCGGTTTCAATTAATTTGCTGGTTTCGATAAACTTTTGTTTTTTCTTGAATTTTTTGGAAACATTCAGGGCATTCATATAAATGCGTAAATGCCTCATAACTGTGTAAACCTCGTAAATAAACCGGTTTTCCGTACAAAATTAAACAATTTTAGGAGCTATACGTGGATGCGAGGCTTTTACACCTCGTAAGTATACCGCCTCGTAAACAATATGTCAAAATTTGTATGAAAATGCTTTTACACAGTCCGCTTAAGTTTGCAAGTCGATTTTGGCTCGTAAACGATCTAGTAAACTTACGAGCCAAGAAATGCAATCTTGCCGAGTGCCAGCTGATTTGTTTACAATTTAATTTTTCTTTCCGAATTGTGCTAACAGAATACCGCATCTAACTTTTGAAGCACTTGATGAAAATGAATTACACTTATATTAATCGATTTATAAAGAGAATGCGAATAAAATGATATATAAAACATAGGCGTGCTCACAAATTTAAAAATTAAATTTTTTTTGAGAGTGTACCTATTTTTTAGATTTGCCCATATGAGTTTTTTAGAGAATGAACTGAATTTTAATTGAAAATTCTTAAAAATAAATAATTATACATAAGTGGCAAACAATATCACTTTGAAATGGGGGTGCTATAGATATGTCCAATACTGTACATGTATATGGTTAAACTACGGTTGCCAGACGTACTGATTTTATCAGTACAGTATTGATTTTTCAACTCTTGTACTGATTTTGTTCATTTCTTCAATCAGTACGCTAATGTTCTGATTTTTCAAAACTTGTATTGATTTGTACTGAATTTTCAATTCAAACAAAATACTTTAGCATTTTCTTAAGGTTATACATAACGTTGGAACTTACTTAAACTGTACTGTAAATAGTAAGAAGAAAATAATTTAATTATAGTTGATATGTTTCAGATAATGTTTCCTATGCCCAAGAAATTAATACAACAAAAAGTTCAATCGTTTTATGGGCATATCGCCGGGTCGTTACGTACCAGTTGCGATATGATGGAGCTTAAATTATTACAAAAAGGCTGAAGTTTTTTTGTCGAGTGTTGTTAGTTATCCCAAAAACAACTTTCAGTTTAATAACAACAAATTTGAATATTCGAAAGGCTTTCGCCTATAACTTACAACTCTTTTTTCACAATTTACTGACATTGTAAAAGAGTTTTGCATACAAGACATAGAGTTGGATACTCCTTTTAGTGAATTTTTAGTCTTTCAAAGTTTTTGCGTAGTTGAAAAAATTAATTTAAGCCAGGAGGAATTATAGATGAAGTCCTTAAATAGTGGCACTTTTCCGAAGTTTGAAAAATATATTATTTTGTTTTTTTTTTTTCAATACCACACTCAAATGAAGCAACTGAGAGGATCTTAAGCCTACAGTTTGCTTCCTGGCGCAAAGAGAGAAACCGGTTTCTAATTAAAATTATTTAAAGTGAACTTCATATTAAAAGTAATCTTAAAATGAAATGTATAGAATTCTTTGACTATTTAAACACTGAAGATAGAAATAATCTCATTATTGCTATTCAAAAATGTCATAAATATAAAACAATTTATTGGCTTCTGTGTACAATGATGTGTACACTCATATTAAAATGAATAACAGTTTTATTTTTAACCGACTTCCAAAAAAGGAGGATGTTATCAGTTCATCGGAATATATATTTTTTTTTTTTTTTTTTTTGTTATGTATGTTACCGCATAACTTTGGACCGCGTCAACCGATTTCGATAATTCTTTTTGCATCGGAAAGGTAGTGTCTCAGAGGTGGTCCCATACTAATCGGGTTGAGATCCGATCAGTGGATCATGAGATATATATATATTTTTTTTGTTATATGGGAGTTGAAGTCGGTTTTTTTTTGCTAAAAATTACTAGTTATAAACTATATTTTACTTATATACCAAAATATTGTTAAAGACAAGTACTCTAGCGTTTTAAAGTATTATTCTGTTACTTACATTCATAATTTTGCGTTGAACAAAAATCCGGTAACTCTAGGTTAAACTCACAGCTTATAGACTAGTAAATGTTTTCTTTAGCCTGGTTTATAAAAATTTGTAAACAATAAAGCTTACCTACTCCGTCTGACTGAATGAGTTGATTTATTTGTAAATATGTATTACCTAATGATGCAGTTTTCAATTCAAATCAATTAACGCCATATTGTATAAGTTAATTAAAACAAAACAACTTGTGTTCATTTACTTGTGAGTAAGAATTATTTTCTGGCCTTGATGGTGAATAAGTTATATGCTCTTAGCTGCAGTGCATGCTAATCCAAAAAAATACGATTATAGGCGATGTAAAGTTTAGTCTTTATTTGTACAAAGAGATTTTGCTTCTATATAAGGGGCGGGCTATTCCCGCGGTAAAAATTCTTCTCTCTTAAGAATAAGGAAAAAAATGTAAAAGATTTTATTATAATCAAATTTTGTAATAAACAACTTCTTGCTTTCAATTAGATTTTTTAAATTTTTCCTGAAAAACACCGGGATCCCGGGATTGGCATACTTAGTATATACATATCATACATAATTATACAATATTATACGTAATTTTAAAGGCCTATAAATCGTTTTTCTTTCAGTACATTCGATTTTAAAATCGATTGAAAAATATTCATTTAAATAAAAAAAAAACTAAAAATAGGAAATATTATTTCTCATAAAGAGGAAAAAATTAGGGTCTTGAAATTACATAACTTTTTTCGATAGAGGTAGCATTATGTATACCTTAGGTTTTACCTACTAAAGCGCGTTTCAGAGCAACCGTTGTCCTGCAGGCTTACTACAAAAATTCAATAAATAATTAACTAGACAAATTCTTTAAAATCAAAAGTCTAACATTGCATTTGTTATATTGCAGTGACGTATTTTAAAGTTACCATCAAGATAAATATCGAGAATGGACGCATTCGATGTATCGGATCGAAATAGGTAAGACAATGTAAAGACAAATAGTACATCCACATCGAAACTGTTTTTTTTTTTGAAAATTTCAAGACCCTACCCGCTAATTTTATCTTGTCTTGAAATTTCCAAAAAAATACAGTTTCGATGGGCACCCTAATCTACATATCTATCATATAGTCTGTAAGCATCCTGTTTGTTGATAAATAAATAAATAAATATTTTCGTCAAAGTTATTGTGGCTTGTTAACATTTTTTTTTTTATATAATATTTTTATTGAGCTTTGTACCACAAATGGATGTATAGAATTGACAACAACCACGCTGTCGAGTTTAAATAGCGGCAAATCAGCTGCACTTGATAGTAGTTGGTTGAATAAGGGAAATGAATTAGCAACAAGAGTTTACGGGATGTACATAGCTCAGTGGTTAACGCTTCTGACTTTGAACATCGAATACGCAGGTTCGATCCCTGCTGAAGTCTAGAAAAAAGAAGTCTGATGAGGAGATGTGGTGATCTCCGAAATAGTGCTATAACTTCTACCGCTTAGACTTTGTTGCTTTTTCAATTTTTCCTAATAAACAATCGTGGTACAAAGCCCAATAAAAATATTTTAAAAAAATAAATAAATATTTTCGCAAATACATAAAACTTAATTACCATATGAATCCAAAGTTTAAACTTTACAAAAATAATAAAAATTCAGCAAATTTTTATCAAAATTTAAAACTTTAGAAAAATTTTAGGGTCATAATTGTATGGTATAATAAAGTTTTAACTGGCTACAAAATAGTGTTGATTTTTGTAAATTTTTTTGTTGACGGTGTCACGCATTGTCTTCCATATAAAGTATGCTTGAAAACTTTTTATATGGAAGAAAATGTCTAGAATAAAAAGTTTGAAATTTTCGTGAACATAGTTTGAGTTTTTATAATTTTTGCACAACGTTTGGACTTATGTGTTTTTTTGTTAGATAATGAGCTATACCTTAACAATAGCCGTGTTTTTTTTAACGCATATACATATACGCTTAACGT